ACACACACACACACACACACACACACACACACACACACACACACACACACACACACACACATATATATATATATATATATATAGGAGTGCTCCAGTACATATAGGACACTGCTTTCTGGGTTTAGTTAATTGATAGTATGTCTACTTACCCATATATACATGTAGGACATATTCCAGTTTATCTAGGACACTGTTTTCTCTGCTCCTCAGCACACAGGCAGATTTTGTTTCTTCCTGCCTCTCTGTGTTAATAAGAAGGTGGTCTAGCAGGTTCTCTGCACCTCCTTGGTTTTTTTTTTCTTCCTTAATGCTTTGGCAAAGGATTTTATTGCATATTGCCCTGGCGTGCGCCCTTGCTTTGATCTGAATTTTCCTGTGTTCTGTTGTTTGGTTGTGCAGCCCAGCTCAATGGCTCCTCTTACAGGACTACTGGAAAACAGAACACCTTTTATCATTGTCCTCATCCCCAGAGAGAGAAGGAAGCTCTGCATATTCCCACAGACTTTTGCTGGGTGGGTGGGACTGACTGACTGTGGTCTTTTGTAAAGCTATGAAGAGTTAAGGTTTGGTGCACCAATTAAAAAGAAGCCGTTTAAATAGCAACAGCTATTCCTTGCTATTTCGTTTGGACCTTATTCCCTTTTAAACCAGGTTTTGTAAGTTTTAGAAGGTGGTGGGTTACATTTTCAGTTTCTTTTTTACCCATATTCTTTTGCAAAATGATGGGAAATCAGCTAAAGTGAGAAACACATTTCCAAAAACTAATTTTATTATTATCTTTTGATTCAAAGTAGTGGTGGTAAAAAAAAAAATTAAGAGGATCTTATTGGATTATATGAATAATTGACCTGGTTGAGTTTTAAGATTCTTTTTAAGATTCTTTTTTAATCATACGTATTTTAATTCCTGGTAGTTTCATGGCAGAATGGTATCTAAACTAAGCAATCTTCCCACAGCATCTGTTTACATATATTCCTTCTGTTAAAAACATTTGCTTTTAATTTGAAGGGGAAATTTTCCATTGGTTGGATTGGGGTCTATTATTCTTGGTAAAAGTCTAATGTTAGCATGGTCAAATCCTTTCCTGAAAAAGTTAAAATTAGTAAAAGTTGATTTTCAATTTGGGGAAGTTTTATTTTTATAATATAGACTTCAGATAAATTTTAAAATCAGTAAATTTAACTCAAAATAAATAACTTAAAAACAAAGGCTTCATTAATTTCATTAGTGTCACCAGTGTTGAAGCAACAATTTATAAACTACCTGCATAAGACTTTTTTAAGGAATTCCCTTAAAACAAACCATAAGAGGAAGCCTTAAATAAACAGAGTAGTATAACCGGAATTTTGCTGAAATGCGCTTGCATAGTACTACAGTATTGTGGAACTTCAGTTTTGCAAGAGTGACTTAGCTATTGTTTGTATCAACAAAGGAACCTAAAATATCCTGGCCTTGTTATTCAGCATTTTGTTAATTAAAATCTTTACTAACTCAAAGTTTAACATTTCTGTAGTTAGATTGCTGAAGAAAAATTCTAAAGTAATTTCTGTATTATCAAAATAGATTAAATTATGTTAAAAGCTATTTTAGTGGTAAATATATTCTTCATAGTCATTAGAAATACTAATATTGTTATATTAGTGATGGTAATAGCATGTATGGTGACACTTTGTTACCCCAAACTGGGATATTTTGTCCCTCCAGCAATGTCTGATAACAAAAAGAATTTTTTTTCTATTGAGCATTTTCTATCAATAATTGTTTTGTTTCAAATGCAGTTTATTCTAAGATCAGTAATAAAGTAACATTATTATAGTACATTAGCTTAAACTATATGAAATTGCCATTTTTTAGGGTGGAGAGTCAACAAACTCAGAAATTTCTAATCGTTCAGCCACTGTCAACTCTCAGCAGTTCCTTCTGGTATTTATTTTTATCTCATTTTTAATGTTTAAACTTATTTATTTTCCACCTTTGGATATTATCTCTGGACTTCTGTTTTGGAAGTTGAGGAAGTAGTTGTCCCATACAGCCATCCTTCTATCCCCCACTCACTCATACCTATACTTTATAGTTTCCAGTTAAGTCAGTATTCAGTATTTATGTGACTCTGATAATGTACCGATTTCTCTTGAATGAGCCATGTAGCGTATTTATACTACATTTTCTCTTGAACAACTTTTGTTTCTCCTGAATTAAATTGCCTCCTGTTTGTTTTCATTTTCTTAGTTCCTTTGCACCAGTCACTAATTCATCCTAAAATTCTGTGAAAGAACTGATGACCTTTCAATATTTTCAGGTAATCTCTGTTTCATTCCTTTTTCCTAGCAGTCATCTAGGACTTCCCTTTATCATCATCTTGGCAATTTTTTCCTTTGCCCTCCTCCTGTGTTGGATCCTTAATTTCCCGGGTCCTCTGTCTTCCATATTCTTTCATACCTTCCTGAGAAAGGGCACATACAAACTCTGACATTCCTTCCTGAATTCAGAAGTTGCAGGGCTGGAAATGTCTTCATTTTATCCTCACTCTTGAATGGTAGTTTATCCTCAACTTTGAATGGTAATTTCTAGATTGAAAATTAATATCTGTCTTTAGAAAACATTGTTCCATTAGCTTCCAGTGTTGCTATTGAGAAGTCCAGTGCCATTCTAATCTCCATTTCCGTTTTCCTCCAACTCTGGAAGATTTGGGGATCTTCCTTTTATCCCTAATGTTCCATGATGTTTCCTGAAATATTTTTTTTCTTTTTCTTTACTTTTCTTGTGGGAGAGCGAATATTTTCTAAAAATGACTATATATATGTACATATAAACGCACACACAGACACACACACCATCTCTATATGTTATTCTTTATGGTATTGACATGCCTCCATCAAGAGGTGGGGTCTTTGTTTCCTATCCTTGACCTGTGCAAAAATGAATGCCTACTGGAATATTTTGCGTTTTGAGCCAGCACCATGGATTAGGAGTACAGCTGGATGAGCAAGAGCATGCACCTTGGTGGGGGATTAATTTTTGTTTTTTACTTGTAAATGTAATCATCACCGGAAATATCAGTTAACATCAGAGAAAGTTTCTTCAAGCAGTGAAATGCAGTCACCTCTGGAATCAACAAGAAAACTATCATGTGTTTTTTTTCTTAATCTACCTCAGGAAGTGACAGAACCTTTCATGACCAAAAAGAAACAATCTTAAAATTTATGATCAAATATGTCATGACTAAATATGACAACTGTATTATTTGCAGGAATTTCTGTTATGAGAAGATGGAGACATGGAGCTATGTAAACCACAACTTGATTGGACATTGTGTATATCACATGGACACATATTTCTTTAATATTTTTTTTACCCATGAATTTTTTTCTATTTGCAGCTGCCTTATCCCTTATCTAGTTTTTCCATGCATCTACATGAGGCTGAATATTACAAGAGAATTTGAGATTAGGACAAAAAATCTGAAGTGGACTGTCAGCACTACTCAAGAAAGCTATCAGATTCCTAGTAAGATCTTTATGCTTATAACTATTTCATAATTTCTCTCCACTCTTTAAAAGCATGAGCAGCCCACCCATCCCCTTGCAGATGAGCAGGCCTCATACTTTCCATTAAGGAGTTAGAACTTGTAAGACAGATACCATTCATCTTCTCCCCACCAAATCTAGAAATCCCCCTTCCTTAGGCCCATGTTTTGTTTTCTTCCTCTCAGAGGTCAACTTTCCACCCCTCCATATATCTCCTTATACTTAACTCAGGGACTTGACTCCTGAATTTGTACCCTTTCTCTTGCTTCATCAGCAGCTCTCCAGAGCACCACCGGGTCAGCATTCACAAGCTCTGACATTGCCCATCTTTAAAAACAATCTAAAAATCTCAATAAACAACTTTCCCCTGACCTCCTATCCATCCCCTTCTGTTTCCCTTCATGGTTAAATATCTCAAAAGATAAGTATATATTTCCTCCCTACCTCCTGTGTAATACCTATCACTCTCTGAAATTCTGTTGTTGACCAATTTTTTTTTTTTTGTCTATTACCCCACTGGAAGGTCAGCTCCAGGAACGCAAGGACCTCATTTGGCCTGTTTACCATTATGTCCCTTAGGATAGCAACTGGCACAAGTACTTACTGAATATATG